AGTTATCTGCCAGCCCGCCACCTGCCCGGGCCGGCTCGTTTGCAACTATGATGATTTTGCGCACAGTTTTCCTTTGACCGTATTTGTGCAAATGTGCGGAAAAATTAGGCTCCGCCCACTTCAAATTTTTTTCCAAAATTTCGTTTTTCGTCAAGAATTTCTGTTGAAAGCTGATTTTTTTGCAAATTTTTCAATGACTGTAATTAGTATAAAAAATGGAAAATTCTTTTTTTTTTGGCTCACGAGCACAAAAACGTCGGGTTCTGAAACGCCGAGTGCTGAAACGTCCAGAAGCCAGATTTCCGAGGTACCGGTCAGAAAGGATTCAGAAAAAGTCAATAGGATGCGCAGGGCCAAAAAACACCGGACAAAAAGTGACGGACGCTAACTAATAAGGAGGAACGGGTCACATCTCGAGAATAGGGGGGCGGGAGGTCCCTTCCCATTATCTCTCGCACTCTCTCCTCTCCACACACTCTCTCACCATCGCCATGACGTTTGTCTCCGCGCGAGCGGCAGGGGGACGTCCGCGTTGCATTGACCGCATCGCAACGCAACGTTCCGTTGTTTGCGTTGTTCCCGGCCCCACCGGACCATCGAGAGTGAGGGTGGGGGCGCACAGACTGTGTCTGTGCCACACAGACTCTTTCTGTTCCACAGGGAGTATGGTGAGGCAGATGGTGGTGTGATTGAGAATGTGAGAGAATTACTGTAGAGGGTGTGTGGTGGGGATGGTCCCCTCTTTTCTTCGGGAAGTCTAGCCTGGCGGTGATGCACGTTAAGGCCAAAAATGCCGTTGAAGGGACAGTATTGAAAAAAAGCGGGAGTGGCGATGATGGAGGATTACTGTAGCAGTGAGGATAGTCCCTTTTCTTCGATGAGGATCGGACGGCGATGCACGTTAAGGCCGAAAATGTGATTAAAGGTACAGGGTTAAAAGAGCAGAGGGTACTGTAATCCTTGTACTTAGAGGTGCGCGTAGTGCAATTATTAATTTTTCGAATTTTTGGGAATTTCGGTTTTTTTAGATTTTTGAAAATTTGAATTTTTCTGATTTGGAAATTTCGGATTTTTCTTGGAAATTTCGGTTTTTTTTTTAATTTCGGATTTTTTAAGATTTTTCGGTTTTTCGAAATTTTTTTGAGATATCAAATTTTTCGAAAATTTCGGATTTTTCGAATTGTTGGAATATTCAGGATTTTTTTGAAAGTTTTATTTTTTGGATTTTTCAAATTTCCGAAAATTGTTAATTTATGTAATTTCGGATTTCGAGAATTTCGGGTTTTCAGGGATTTTCGGAATTTCGGAAGTTTTTATTTTTCATTTTAGGTTTTTTTTTTCTGTATTTCGCAGGCTGATGATGCGCCTTTAAATCCATTTTTTCGGCGAAAAATGGGAAAAAATCGAAAAAAGCTATGAAAATCGGCAAAAAATTACGAAGTTTTTTTAAAGGCGCATGACGGTACCCGCTTTGATGATGTGCCTTTAAACGCTGTTTTTCCTCGCTGACATCGAACTAGAAAAATAGCTGGCACGGTGCCAAAAAAAACTCACAGGTAGGGAATATCCATTGCAATAAGGAGAAATCTGGGCGAGAATCTGCAAAAAAACATAGTTTGTTGTTATTCACATGAACCCAGAAAAAAAAAAGATTTTTTTTTCAACGAAAATCAACAAAAACAACAGCTTTTTCGTATAGTGAGAGAGTGAGAAAATCAGTTTTTAATTAGAAAAAAAAACGAAAAAGGAAGATGAATTTTCTCAAGACTACTGTAGTTGATAAATTGTGTGAACACCGAGACGAGATACTGCACAGGTTTTCGAAATGCGAATTTTGGAATCCTTCGACATCACCGATTGCGAATAAAGGGTTGTATTCGTTATTTTTTGACATTTTGCAATGGAAATTGTGAGAATTGAAAAGGATGTGACGAAAAATGAAAAAAAAGAGAAGAAAGTCGATTGAAAATAGAATTATAAAAAAGTACTGTAGTTCAAAGGCACATGCAGGATTACTTACCTTGCGACGCATACTTTTTCGAGTAAATTGTTTCAAAATTTACCGATTTTTATATTTAAAAAAAATCAATATTGTCGAATTGAAAAAACTGGAAATCGGAAAATTTCGCGGGCGGCTTCCGTTTCAATTCACGGAGCCTCGCCCAAAAATCGCTACAGCTAAAGTATAAGTGCTACAGCTACAGTAGCTACAGTATTAAACGAAATTAAACAATTTCCTTGAATTAAGTGTGATTTTCTGGGGGTACGACGAATTCGAACGTTTTCAAAATCGAAAGTCCGAAAAAGTCCGAAATGTTACGTTTTTGCCGCGCTTTTTCGTATTTTCTCAGGTCCCAGTTTTTCTAATTCGACAATATTCAAATGAAAGCTCTCTGCACTTTATTCAGAAAATAAAAGACATTTATTGAAAAGAAGGTCAACAAAAAAGGTATGAAAACCCTGCAAAAGGTGTCACATCGTCTACCAAACACAGTCCTCATCGGTGAACTCGTAAGGCGCTGTGGACATGTTGCAAATCCACTCCTTGCAATTATCGTCGTATTCAGCTTCTCTCTTTTCCGCAGAAATCCTTATTAGACGGTAGAATTCGGTGTAATACTCAATTCCGACGACGTCATCCAATCCACGTTCCACAAGAATGTGACGATCGGGGTTGTTGGTCCGAATTCGAACTCTTTTTTCACTTTCCGACCTAAAATGATATATTTCGATGTTATTTTCGGAATTCTGTAACCAATGGAGTCCCAAAACCCAAAAAATTTTAAATTTCAATTACACAATACGTTCGGCGAAATACTTCGAGAATTCCTCGACTGAGCCATCGATGTTGGCATAAACGTGGAAAGTGAATCCGATTTTCGAATTTCGATCAATCAAACTCTGAAAAAAAGGATTTTTTAAATTGTAGTTTTAGTTTTTCAATGTTCAACCTGTGCAACTTTATAAAGGTTATCCGTTTGTTTGTAGTTCTCGATGTGCCAGTAGCTGAGACTTTGAAGCTGTGACATTGCAAGAATACCATCAAAATTGTAATCGAAGTCTCCTGAGCAATGTATTCTTATCGCGTCGACGCCATTTTTCATTTTTTGAAGAACAGCGTCTGCCATTTCATTATCACAATGATCAATGCCGATGTTTTTGGCTGAGATTCTCCCAACGAAATTCTTCATTTCGTCCTTTACAGTCGGATCAGTCGATAAGATGGTGAAACATTCGAAAACTCCGATCTTCCCAATGTAATTCAAAAACTTGAATGCTATAGATGAATTAACGTTTTTGAGAAATTATCCCCGTTCTTCGAGCTTAGCGACACACTATAATTTTCGTCATACTGAAATAAATTGGTTTTTTAAAAAATTCCCTCATCGAATTTGATTTTATGCGTTGGTATCGTAAGTCGGATTGGCCGATAAGTTTTCTGTCTTTTCGGTTAGATTTTTGATATCAGATGACATTCTGTAACGGAAAATCGTGGTGTCCGGAAGGCCTGATATCAAAAATCATGCATTTTTGAGCAAAATGTTGAGCTCTCAATATAATTTTCTCCATTTTTTTGCTTTTTTCGGATTGTTTGTCTGTTTGATCGAAAAAATTCGAAAAAAAAAATTTTTGATCGAAAAAATCACATAAGGGTCCCCTCCGAAGTTTGGAAAAAAGCCCGGCACGTTACAAAATATGGTAAAAATGGTATTTTTCCAGAAAAATTGGTTAAAAATAAGACAAAATATAAATAAGACAAAATATATAATAAGACGCATTTCGCTTGGACTACTGTAGTTGAGAAGCTGGGCAAACACAGAGACGAGAAATTGCAAAATTTTTTTTCAAAATGAGAATCCCGTGAGTTCCGGCTAGGAAAATATCAATTTTCTCGGAAATTCGAGGCTAGTTTGTCTAATTATCTGGAAAAACGACCTAAAATCTATGAAAATTGTGTTTTTCACGATGAATATGCGAAGAAAAGTCGAAAAAAATATTGAAGAATTTTGCATGGACTACTGTAGTTTATAAATTGTGTGAACACCGCGACGAGAAAACGCACTACTCATATTTACAACGGCGTTTTTTTCTCAGAATTTCAGGCAATTTTCAGCTGAAAAAGGGGAACACCGAATTGAAGCAGAATTTAGCAAAACATCAGAATGCCTGGAAAACAAGAATTCAGACGAAAAAGAACCTGAAAAATATGAAAAATCAAAAAACTAGAAGAAATATAGTTTCATTTTATCAACAATGAAAAACCACAACCTCAAAAAAAATTCCTTCGCTTCTTGGCGATTTCAAAATTAGCCGTAACTGGTTTCACAGGCGGTCTATCATATTTGGGTGCAAAATTCACAATTTGGTGTAAAATCCAAAGATTCGGATATTTTGTATCCAATCGAAAATATTCAACATCCTCGAATCGATCGACGATTTTTTGGTGGAGAGCCACTTCTGCGTGTTTTGACACTTTTAGGCGAATTCGATGCGTGGGCGGAGGTTGCTTGACGAATTCGGAGAGAGCTGTTCGGAGACCCATCTGAAAATTTTAGACTTTTTTGTATTAAAAATTTGTAATTTTCTTAACGAATACAATTCAACATGATGGCCTAACTTTTGGAAGTTGAGTTTTCTAGGCCACCATGGTAAAATAGCCTAAAACTGGTGTGATGTCCAAATAGAGTGTTTTCAAGGTCATTTTACCGTGGTGGCCTAGAAATTCCAACTTCTAAAAGTTAGGCCGCTTCAAATTGACAAAAAGCGAGAATAGATGTCAGCAACGACATTCCGAAGTTTTGCATTGCTCATTTTTAGAGATTTTTCCCGAAAAAACACACTGATGCTGTACATCCTTTCATACCGTAACAACACTAATAGAATGCCAACTATCAACTTTGGACCAATTTATCTCGGTTCATATGAATGATGTCAAAAAGTGGGCAACTGACAAAATACTTTTAGGCAGGGTTGAACACTTTTAGATATCTTTGACAGGAAACGAGATAAATTGGCTCAAAGTTGACGTTTTGTGTTCACGGTAAGTACCATAAACCCACCTCAGATTTTTCCTTAACCTCTACTGTATGAAAAATGGTTTCATCCACATTCCTATGAGCCACAAGACACATCATAGTCCTTCTGGGAACATTATACCAGAAACGTGGCAATTTGATTCGTTCCTCAACTTCCAATCTAGATGGTTTCAAATGATCAACCCAGGAAAGAGCCCAACTAAGTCCTTGAGTTATAGCATCTTCTGCCAAACCATCCCATTCTTTTGGAATTCCATCTTCTGGAGTATTCGGTCGATTCCTTGGATAGTATTCTTTGGGTTCTGGTACTGGAGATCTTGGAGGAGATGGGGTGTGCTGACGGGAAGGTGTAGGGGTTTCTTCTTCGGATTCAAAGGGGGTTGGAGGGTCCAGTGGGAAGAGAGATGAGATTTTGGAGTGCTGAAAAGTTTTTTTTGACAAATCAGCAATGTTTGATCAGTTCAGTTGTCATCAACTTGATGAAACAGAGAAAACCTCTGAAATTTCGATATTTCTGCTTTGAGCTCAATTATCTCAATTTCTATAAGAGATATCGAAAATTTGTCAATTGATAAAATGCTTATCATAATATCACTAACATTTTTGTAGTTTACAAAATTTTTAAAATCTTTTGCAAAAATTGAGATAGTTGAGCTCAAAGGGCAAGTATTTTGTGGCGTTTTGTTAGAGGGAATACGATAGATTTCCATTTGCATAATGGGGTTATTCAGTGAGAAGCAATTCAGCAAATTGCTGGTTTTTTTCCTTATGCAGAAAGCAGAAAAACCAGCAATTATTGCTGGGGCCGCGGAAGCGAGATTGCTGGAGTTTTCTAGGCCATGTGAACTCGTCCTCCTCCTCGTGGAGTACACGACAAGAACATTTCCCCGTAAATCGACACAAGGTTAAAGGCGCAACGAATTTCCCGGTTGGGTCTCGCTGCCGTGTACTCCACGAGGAGGAGGACGAGTTCACATGGCCTAGAAAACTCCAGCAATCTCGCTTCCGCGGCCCCAGCAATAATTGCTGGTTTTTTTTTGCTTTCTGCATAAGGAAAAAACCAGCAATTTGCTGAATTGCTTCTCACTGAATAACCCCATAAAATTATACGATTAGATGAAAAAGTATATTGGGAAAAAATGTCGATATTGAAACAGCAAAAAAATGTGTTGAAGAAAGTAAAACCTGTATTAGTAGCGTCGGCTATTCCTTTGCTCCAATGTATTTCAGGAGGGCTCTTCTATTACAGGGGCTCTTCTATTTTTCTGAATTTTTATATTTGAAAATTCGGTGAGTTCTCGTTCAAAGTTCATGGGGATCTTTTTACTACAAACAACTTATTTTGAAGGGGCCCTTCTATTAAAAGGACCTTTCACAGTTTATCACACATTGCTGGAATAAATCGGTGAAAATAATATTGAAGAACAAAATGCCAATATTGAAACCGGAAAAAGTTAGTTGAATATATTTTTGAGAATTCAAACTACTGGATAAAATGACTTAAATTGAATAGAGACACTGGAATTTCTAGAACTTTCAGGAAATTCGAGATTTTGAGGTCCCAGTTCCTTTCCAAACACTTCAAATTTTGATTTTCTCGGAAATTTTTTTAAAAGTTTGAATTAAAAAAAAAAGTTTCGGAAAATTCATTTGATTGAATCTTCTATTTTTGTTGAGTACTCAACGTACTCTACTCAAGATATTGCTTGTCGATAAATCTGATTACGGTATACTGTAGGAAAAATAGTTGTTGAGGCTTACTGTAGCGGTGCCTGCGTTCCAGCTACAGAAGATTAAAAAAAAGGTACAATGAACCGGCCACTTGAAGCCCATATCTCTCATTTCCTGTGAAAGATATCAAAAAGTGAATAACAGACAAAACGTTCATCATTAAAAAAACAAAACAGAAATGATTTCCAATGACTTTTTCTTCTGATTACGGTTTCCGAGTTAATATAATGATCTTAATGAAATACTAGCAAATTAAACGACTTTAGAACGTTTTTGAAACATGGATTTTTGAAAAAAAATACACTTACCCTCTCAATATTCACTTCTAGCGTCTTTTTCTTCTTAACCGGTGTCACTGGCACTGTTGACGGAGCCGATTTCCTTGGAGACCTTCTTGGAGTACTACGACCTCCTCCTTCATTTCTCAACAAATGTCTCTCATACTGATTCCTTTCCCTTTCTATTGGATTTGTTGGCCTTCTTCGAGCCCTTGTAAACCGTTCCGCATTCGTTTGTGGTGTTCTTGTCGGTGTGATGTTAATTGATGGTCCTGGTAGCATACGTTGAAAAAATGGGTTGAGATTTGCATATTCTAGTTCTTCTTGTTGTCTTCGTTGTTCACGGCGGAATTGGAATAATTCTTCACGGGTGTTGTATCGAGTCGGTGGGGTTCGGTGGTAGTAGCGGCGGTCCATTTTTACTGTAAGAATATAAAATAGGTACTGCGTCGATATAGCGGCGAAAGAAGCAAACAAAATCTAAAGAAGTGATGGAAAAAAAAACAAAAGCAAAATTCGACCACCGTAAAACCTATAATAGAAGGGCCCCGTCACTATTTACTTTGACCCAATTTATCTCGGTTACTGTAAGAGCTATCAAAAAGTGATGAACTGCTAAAATATTTTTGATATTATGATAAACATTTGCCAGTTTATCACTTTTTGATTTATCTTACAGTAACCGATATAAATTGGCTCGAAGTTTGAAGTTAGAGAGGCTCTTCTATATATCAGGGTTTACGGAATAATGTGACCAAACTTATCTCGGTTTCTATTAGAGATATCAAAAAGGAGTCAACTAACAAAATGTTCACCATAGTACCAAAAATAATTTTTTAGTTTAACATTTTTTGCTATATTTTAAAAGAAAGAAGATAAGAAAGGAAATTCGAGGTAACTTGTTAGAAAACAATATTGTTTAAAAATCACCATTTAAACAGTAAGATGCATCAAAGTTAATAACTCACGACAGTTTTTTAGGACAAGATGAAACAGGATTCATAAAAGTTGAACTTTCAAAAACTGAGCTCGCCAAATTGACCCTAATTGTCTAATTGTCTCACTTTCTGTAACTGATCCAAAAACTTTTTCAACTGACGAAATTTTGATTTCAAAGATTTCCCTGGTGAAAATCATACGAATTCAAAACAACTTTTACTTACAGCAACGGAAAAACTGGTAAAGTTTAAAACATAAAATTTATAACAGAGTGACTGAAACTGCAAAAATTCCAAAGGCAATAAAGTTTTCAGGGAAATGATTTATAACAACCTTGCAATAATGGCGCAACTCCAAAAAGCTGATAAAACTAAATGAAACAGGATAAATTTTTCATTGAAAGACATACCGTATCAAACAAACATTTATCATTTTTTAGTGGAAAATAGACAATTTTAAAAAAATATTTCACAATTTGTTGATTTTTATAAAAATTGCAGAGTTTATTAAAAATAATACAAGATTAAGTTTTGACAAACTTTCCGACAAATTCCATGTTAAGCTCTAACTTTGTTCAATACTTCCTGAAATTTTCAGATAACTCGAAATTTTATGAACCAACAATGACGCAACAGGAATGGCAAAACTCGAAAAGTTTATCAAAACTAAATGAAACATAACACTTATTTTTTCTGTATCACAAAGCCTATATCATGTAATTAATAATTTGTTGATCATTGTGATATGCAACCTGTAAACGGACTAAAAATTGAGAAAATATATCCGGAATAAGAAATATTGTCCCGACAACCGTTTTCTCTCTACGATGCTATTAGACTACCAGAATAACTTTTTAATTACTATTGGAAAAGGAGAATCTGAGACAAAGATCTTACGAGTGATGAAAATCTGGATAAAACAGATAGTCTGAAGTGTGCAAAGAACAAACCAACTGGAAATATTCAAACAATTAGAGTACCTGAAACTAAAAAAACTTCTGGAAGCATTGATTTTAGCAGCGTATCTAAACGACCTAATAAGAATGAAGACACATCAAAAGTTTATCAGAACAAAATGAAACATAACAGAATTTTTCTGTATCACAAAGCCTACATCATGTAACAGTTTTCTTCATTGTGATGCTTTGTTTTTGATATTCATTATGAAAAAGTACAGAGCATTATGCTGGTTGAAAAAATTGACAGTGGAAGAGAAAGTCTGGTCAAAGTTCTCTAAAGAAAACTATCTCTTACAAAAAACAAACAATTTTTTAATTCGGGTTTTTTTTCGATTTTACTGATTTCTAACGATTTTCTGTAAGTTTGATTGTAAAATTACAGGAAAACGGAGAAAGAATCGAGAAAAAAAAGGTTACGGCAGTTGTGGCACCTTGACCGACAAGCATTTTTTCAAAACTGCTCATTTATTATTAAAGAAAAGATAACTAATCAGAGCAAAAGACGCACTGGAAAAGTTCAAAAAATAAAGAGTATCTGAAACTGCGAAAAAATTCTAATTTGCAATAAATGTTTTTAGAAGTTCATTTACAGTAAACAATTCAAAAGGAAGATCTTCAAAAGTTCATCAAAACTAATTGAAACAACATTTTTCTACATCAGTAAATTTAGATCATGCTATAATTTTTCTCATCAAATCACATTTCTATAACTTTAGCCAAGGAAAAAGTGATGAAAAATGTTGTCTAGAGTGAACGAATATGACAGTAACCCAGTACTTTGAACATACAAGAACATTTCAAAAATAAACCAGAAATCTTTGGTTTCATATTTGGCGGTAAAAAATTACTGGAAAACGGAGACAAAATCGAGGAAATACATTCGGACAATACATTTTTAAAGGTTACTGTAGTTTTCGTTCTGGAACCTTCGACGACGAGCGTTTTTCACACCTTTTATTGAAATAACAAAACATCTGTTAACTGAGTTATTTTTGAAGGGATAATCTGAGAAATAGAAAACTAATGAAGAATGATGTTCTGGGTGTGCATTAAACCAACTGAAAAAGTTCAAAAGATAAAGAGTAATTGAAACTGCGAAAAATTGTAAAAGACAATAATTTTTAGCAGCTGATATCAACGTTACAATAAAACTGAAGAATCTACAAAAAGTTTTTTTTTTATTTCTGTATCAGAATATTCACATCATGCTATGATTGTTGCTCATTTTTTGATATGACGACTTTTGGTGAAGTGAAAAAAAAAAAAGATATGCATCTAAACTAAACAAGTGGAACATTAATCCAGTACTGTGAACAGAAAAAAAGTTTCAATAAACCCGAAAATCGATAACACATAAAGGCGAACGCGTGGCCATTCTCTTGTGTTCGTCCAATAGTCCTCTTAGTACACACCCGACACTCGTCCTCCTCGGAACGTTCGTGACTTGCCTGTGCTCTCTCACTTTTCTGTGCTATTTCTTCTTTTTTCGTCCTTTGGTTATTGATGGTCCGTTGGGAAGTGAAAAGTTAGAGTGAAGATGGGTGCGACTAATGGAGAAGATGAGAAAAAGTAATTGTGAATTTTTGAAAATGCCCGATGTTGACCTTTTCAATGGAAAGATGAACACTTTGATGTCCTGAAAAAGAAGTCTAGAATTTTTAGATTTTTTGTCTAAAAATTTCAGAAAACCCAAATGAAGATAAACCATCATATGTAATTGACTACTTTTTGGTGATAATGCGATTTGGAAGTGGCCCACCTCGTTGGTACTTTTTTTGTACTTCTCATCAGAATGGAATTTGGAGAAATAATTGGCAATTAAAAAATTAACGTTTTTTAATGCTCATCATAATATACGCTTTTTCGAGCAATGGGACAATTCTGGAATACCTGCTAAAAAATTCTAACTTGACATTTTTCGAAATGAAAAGGCCAAAAAATCAAATCTTTTCGTACGGGCTGTACTTTAAAATCAAATTGAAGACCTTTATTTTTTGCAGAACTTCATTTTTTGAACATAGTGTTTTTTTTTCATTCCCATCTTCAATACACTTTCGAACACAACTAAACCCTTGACTGTGAAATATCAGTCAGCCATAGCCGTCGGGGCTCGAAAGTGTAAACGAAACCAGGAGAAATGTCAAATGAATCCTAAGGAAATCATTCAAAATCTAGGATCTACTTAAGAAGGGAAGGAAGATCCCAAAGGATTTTCAAAGTATTCAAAAGACAATTCCCAATCTTCAATACACTTTCAATACACGGCAACTCGGCAATTTGTCGAATGCTTTTCGGCAACGTTCGGCAACTCGGCAATTGCCGAAAAAAAAATTTCGGCAATTTCGGCAACTTCCGGCAATTTTCGGCAACAAAAGTGTTGCATCTTTTTTTAGTAAAATCGATACGTAACTCACCTGAAAATGCTTCTATCAGGCTCAGAACTACAGAAAATGTGTTTCATAAGTTCCTTAAAAAAGTAATTACAAAAATTGCCAACTCAAGACCACATTTTTTATGCAAACTATTTCTCTTTAGCAATAGAGGGTATTCCAATGGTTGAAAATATTTGTTCCGATTGTGAGTTTTGAAAATAGTGTGCTCAACTTGTTAGGCAACTCACGACACACGTTCCCTAGAGATTTGAGACAGATTGGATAATTTTTTTGATGAGTTGTGACCCATGATATCTATTTTTCTCCTATGCTCACATATTTGAAGCCCATTTTTAGATCCGATGCAAGTATTTTTGATGATTATTGGGACACATTTCCTCTAAAATTCACTTTGAGGGATGATGGTGTTCAAAATTTGATTTTTCGAACTTCAAAATAATTTTTTTTGACTAAAAAAATTGTGAAAATCTCTCAATTCAAAAAAATTTCAGTTGCCGAAATTGCCGAAATTTTTTTGCCGAAATCGGCAACGGCAATTCGGCAACTTTTTCTTCGTCACCGATTTCGGCAATCGGCAATTTGTTGCCGCACAGGCCTGTTTCTGACCCCCTCGCTTGAACCTAAGTGAATTAGATTTATCATAAACTTGAAACTTTAAAGGTGGGGGGAAATGAAAAAAATAATGTTCTCGAAATTTCGTTCAAAGATGTCCCTCGAGGAGTTGAACTTGTGGGGGCGATGATTGAGGGTGCGGCGCCGCTACCGACTGAGCCACGCGGGCAAAGAGAAAGCGCACGCCCGTTTGCATACATAAAGGCGAGGACGACAGCTGTACGCAGAGTGACATTAAGCGTTGTACACCGTGACGGTAGAATGCATACTCTAGCTACAAAAAAACTACGAAAAATCTCCTGTCCCCCCACCTTTAATCACAAAGTTCAAAATATAAACTACATCATCAACAATCAATTAAAACAAATTGAATAAAAGGAAACTGTTGAATCGGTACCTTTATGGTTTCAAAGTTGTTCATTGTTGTCTGAAAAGTTTTCGAATGCCTGCGTTTGGAAGTCCGGAATATGAGACGATCGACATCTTTCAACATGAAATCCATGTTTCAGTTACAATTAAATGGTTGGAATGATAATCTACCGTAATAATTTTTCCGTAATAAGTTGTTTTATGTTCAGTTTCATTTAAAATATAACTTATTTTTCAAGATTTTTGCAGAACTTAAAATAAAAAATTTCACCGATTCACAGCTGCTGTATATTTTTTCAGAAGCAACCCACTTCGTTCTACTCCGTTTTTTCATCTACAATTATTCAAGCCGTCTCCAACTATCTGAGAACGTCTGTCACGAGTTGTCTAACGAATTGAGTGCATAATTTTCAAAAAATAGAACAAACATTTCAACCAGTTTTTTAAAAAGTTTAGAGTGAGCATGAAAAGAATTTTGGAGTGAACTTGAAAAATGTTGTCCTGGATTTTATGTGATCATTTTTAGGTAACTCATGACACATTATTTCTGAAGTTTTGAGTGATTTCAGATCATTTCCGCGTGAGTTTTCCAGATAATTTTGCTGAAAAAAACATGCACCCTTTTTTGCTGATTAACCTTATACTGTAATTACGGTAATTTATCAAACCGCAGAAAAAAAACGTGGCGAAACAGAAAAAAATTGGATTAAGCTTCCTAGATATCTCATTAATTTTTTATTAATATTTTTGAAGTTCTCTGTTTCAACTAGTGGTTTTAGACCTTGCCAGGTTCTAACTTTAATATGCTCATCAATTGGTGTAGCTATGGCATCCCTTATATTCTCAATAATACACAGTCCCTAATTTTCAACACCCATTCTATGAGCCATGTGTTCTACATAACTCACCAAATTAAATGATACATTTCCTATCGCCCCATTGCTCATCTTCCCCACAGGCTCCCAATCAATCAAAAAACCGTGCCCTGTCTTGTCTTCCTTAAATGTGTCCATCTGCTCTCTTTACGCAAACTGTGCGATGGGCGCCTCTCCGTATGTGTTTGTGGTGTCCAGAGATGTGTCGCAGGTCATCATTGGGCAAACAGATCATAAAAGTCTTGCTATTCTTAAAACTGCATTGTTGCTGGTGTAGTTCAAGGAAAAAAAGTTTCTGTTTCACAATGGAACCTTAATATCTTAAAATATTTTGAATTTTCATTGGTAGTCCTAAGTTAATACCTATATGAACAGTCTGAATATTTTGTAAAACCGTTTTCCAGTTCCAGCCGGGATATCTATGTATAAGTTTTAGTAAAGACACCTGCTGTATACTTTAAGTGGACAAATTTAGGTTGAATCAATTTAAAGTTAATTCCATCAGTTTTTCATTCACTTTAAGATAGTCTCCACTTTGGATCATTCTTGGTTAGATTGAAGTCATTGGTCCTTGATTCCAGCTCTTTTGGGGCCTGTTTAAGATCGTCTATGACATTCTAAATCCGGTTTTGATCAAATTTTGCGTTAGCCAATTTACTCTATCGAACTTATGCTACCAAAGAGCTTATCTTAAGATTGTTGTTTTGATGCCCGAGCAATGAATTATGTGGAACAGTATTTTTGTGGTCATTGGGGTACAAAATCCACAATTCGGAGGTTCAAATTATTTTTCGATTTATGTATGTGTCTGTTCTTTACCCAAAAATTATGATTACTGTATCTAGCATGTAGTATCTTTGATGTTCTGCATCATTAGTATTATGAAGTACATACTTCCTAGTTTTCAATACACTTGTAAATTTAGCGTGAAAGTTAAGGGGTTTTTATTTTGGACAGATTTTGATCAGATTTGCCTAATAACGGATGTATAGCGGATCATAATCGAAAGTCGGAGCTGAGCAATCAGATCTCAAAACTCCTTCCTGGGTTCCTGTATTTTCCATCTGTATGGAATTACCGTACCGCGACCCCTAATGGCTCCCTTCCTTCTCTACGTCTCCTCTTCTCTCTCACTCCATTCGCTTCCCGAATCGCCACCAGCCCACCACCACCATCAAAAACGTTCGCTCTCTCCTTCATTCACACCACTGTTGTCTACATAACCTAAACGAAATAGTAAATGATTCCGAGAGACGCGACACATGAATACAGGGGGGAGCCACCCAGAGGGCCCGTCTGTGCGTGCGCGTTCGGTTTTCTACAGCTCCCTCGTCTCTCCGCGTCTCGCACTCTCTCTAATTATTCCCGTGCGGGTTCATTAGCCCTCCCGTCTCCTCCTCGTCCTCTACTCCTCGCTCGGCAACATTTTTTGGGCCGCCTGTCCGCTGGTTTTTGCTTGCCGAGCGTCCTTTCCCCCTTCTATCTGTGTGGCCCCATTCCCCGGGTTGGGTGAGCGCGTGAGCGTTTGTGTGTATGGTGTTTCTATCTGGGGCCACCTCATCTGTCCTTGTTCCTTATTTTGAGCTATTGATCGGTAGGCGCCTACTGTAGGTCGTGTTCAGCACGCCACTTATTGGCATCAGGTTAGTCGGCGCCCTAGACTTATGGGTCGTGTCTGATCTCTAGGTTTTAACAGAAGTACCACTTCACTAAGATCTTTTTGGCGTTTGGAAATTACGAATTATGAGTCCGTAGGTTATAAGACGTGTTGGGACTCCTGTTTTTGCTATAGCGTCTAGGTGCATCTAGAGATACAGTAACCCTAACATTTTTGTTTCGCATAGTCTATAAACTGATCTTGAAATATGTAAACTTGCTTCAAGCACGAATATTCTCTCGATTTTAAAAAGTTTTCCTTGCTCACAAAAAAACTCATTCGCTGTTCACTTTTCTTCCCTCCGTTATCCGATTCTCATGATTCCCCTGGATTCCCTACTTTCCCTTGTCTCTTTCTCTCTTCCCCTTCTTATCCCTCTATTCTCTCCTTTTTTTGTTGTTAGGTTTGACTGTGTGTCCCCCCCTCCCGGGAAAAAAGGGAGTCCGTAGGTTATAACATGCACCCGACCCCTATTTTTTGTTGTGGGATCGTACTTGTTAGGGGAGGCATAGAGAGTCTTCTAGGTGACTAGGTACATCTAGAGATACAGTAACCCAAGAATTTCTGTTTCGCATAAACTTATTTCAAAATGTGTTAAGTTGTTAATACTCCGCTATAATGCCAAAATTACATTTTTCGATTTTCTCGGTTCTTCGAAGTCTCTATATATGTACACTATGTGTTCTATTCTAGGAAAGCTCAACTTCGATTGATATTATTGTAACTCAAAAACCTTTTCTAGAATTCACATTTTTGAAACTGTAATTTTTTTGAGATACTTGTTTTCAGTATCAGTTTTCGGTGTCTGGATATTTCCGCTTTTAAAATTCCAAATTCAATGTGCCTGTTCTAAGCGACTAGGTTCACTAAAAATGAATAAATGACTGTTCTAAGCGACTAGAAAATGACTGTTCTAAACGACTAGGTTCACTAAAAATTAAAAGTACAATAATCCAAAACACCATTGTTTTCTGTTTCGTGAAGTCGATATCATAACTTCAATGACACTATAAATATGCTGAAAAAGTCTCAAAATTTTGAATATTGTGAAAAAATAGTTTTTGATCGAAGTTTGAGTTTTTCTTCAGTTTCATAGACTTAAGAGAGCTCAAAAAGTTTTTGGAAATCTTGATAGGCGAATCGTTTTCCAATTTAATATTTAAAAAAATGCCAGTGTTCAATTGACAAAAAATCAGATTAAAGTAATGCGAGCATCCCTTCTGAAAACTTTAAAATTTTCTAGAACTTTCGAAACTGTAATTTTTTCTGATATTTTTCTGATTGTTTTTCTAGCCTAGAAAACAAGTTTTGAGTTTGATCTACCAAAAGTTTTTGGGCCCGGCGCCCTTAACTCTTCAATTTTTTTTACCGTTTCAACACATTATTTTTAAGCTCTTTTTTCTCTCTCGTTCGCTCCTGATATACTAAATTCCAGAATGGACGTTGCTTCCTCATCATCCGCATCACCTGCTCCATCAACTTCGACACCAAAACCAACTCTGGATTGGGCGACCCAATATGTAGCTCAAATGACGGATCAACAACGTGCTCTTCTTCAGAAAATGTACGCACAAGAACAGGAGAGAAAACGAAAGGAGAAAGAGAAAAAAGAGCAAGAGGAGCTTGCCAAACAGCAACAACAAGCGATTCTCGATTCGTTGACCAGTCAGGTTCCGATTACTGTAGATGTCGTCAGATCGTCAACACCACCGGATTCGCAGAAAGGTGGAGATAGTGCGTCGAGTAGCAGTAGTCCAGTGGGAAGTACAGAGGAAGAAGAGGAAATACAGTTGGTGAGTTGGGGTTACTGTAGTGGGCTTGTAGAGTTTTAGGTTTTTTTGCTAGGCATATCAATCTTTTTATCGAAAAGATTACTATACAATCTTACTATTTTCATTTGCTGTCTTCCTTTGAGAAACTTTCTCCGTCCATTGAAATTTCACAAATGGTTTCGAGTGATGCAAAATTTGCTAGTTTTCCATTATTCCTAGATAAACATTTACCGTTTCATTTTTTCTTGATAAGATTTCTTGTGTTCTTACAATTAGTTAGAATTGTTCGGTTTTATTTAGTGAATATGGGCGCTCCACTGCATTTTTTGCACTAAATTAACTCACTGCTTTAAATGGATGTCTTTTGAGATTATGTTCTTGCTTTTTTGGTGCTACTGAAAAAGATCCCTAATTCCAAAATAGTTGAAATGAAATTTTAACATTAGAAAAGAGTTTTGAGACAAATTTTTTCCAATGACTGGAATGCCAAAAATTATTGTTTACAGTTTTGAGTGGAATTGCACTGTTTCCATATTTTTGGATCATGCACAATTTTCTAGTTTTCAATGATCCAACGATTAACATTGGCTGTTTCATATTCTCCTAATCTGGTGTTTTGTTCTGTTTATTTTTATTTATTTATTTATTTCAACGAAGGGGAGAAAACCACTAACACGTGAAATGTCTATGAAACTAGGAGATATAACAGGGACATACATTTGTAGTAATTGGGAGATGAAGGAGAAAACCGAGTTAGTAATTAGTTGAAATCAAGACAAGAAAATGTTTTAGATCACAGGATAATAGTCGATTTTTGAAAGCCGCTGACAAGGGCTTCACCGGAAACACTTTGGCGGGTAAAGAGTTCCAACATCTGATTAGTTCCAACATCTGATTAAGTTCCAACATCTGATTACTGATTAACCAACATCTGATTACATCTGATTACTGTTCAAAATTAATCACGTTTTGTTTGTGTGTTGCCAAGTTTAGCATTTTAAGGTTATAGTGATGTCTTGTGAGATTAAGTAATTGCTTTTTTTTAGTGCTAGTTGCTCTGTGGGCAAAGAGTTTTGATTAATTCCAATGACTTGAAAACCAAAAAATCATGATTTGCATTTTTCGTCAGAATTTTGCTGTTTCTTTTCCTTGTTAGAAACGTTTTCGATAGTCCTTTGTTTTTGTTTTTTTTGAATGTTTATTGTGATATTCAAAACATTTACTCGTTGACCACTTTTTGATATCTTTTAAAGGAACCGAGATAAGTTTAACATCAAAGGGTGACATTCTATTGAAATGTTTACGGTAGGTCTGTTATTGGGAGGTTCTACAAAACCAAAATCAATGGATAACCGTTTCAAAAATGTTTTATGTAGACTCTGAGTTTTCTTCATCGTTTATTCGGACTTACCTTTCCCATTTTTCAGACCGTCAAAGATGTGGTCCTCGGAAAGTTCAAAGCGAGCCAAATCGCCGCTCGAGCCGCTCCCAAACCATACAAACCACACCGTTCTCGTATGACACGCGATCGTGTATTCTACGAATCACACGTCTACATTTTCGACAAATCCTCCTACGACAACAAGAAGAAGTTCTACAGATGTGAGAAGAAGAACACGTGCCCAGCCAGGCTTCACATCCCAAGCGATTCGTATCGAGTGATTTTTATGACACAGGAGCACAATCATCCAGCGCCGTCTGTCGATCATTGGGAAATTGATTTCGAAAAAGTTCGGACCGGATGCGTCTATCCGTTGATTCAGCAGGTATGAATTGCAATGTCGGGTGCTCTAAAATGATCGAAAAACAGGCAGCTGGGGGTTGAAGCCTGGATGTCATCATTGTTATTTTCGGCGAAAATTGCCAACTGTGGACCTCTACAAAAGTAGTTAAAAATTTTTAGATTTGTCTGAAAATTTCAATCAATACTAAACAAAAATAGAGCTTCAATTCTGCTGTTGACAACTTTTTTATACAACTGCGTCCAAATAAGATATAGTGCACGAAACTGTCTTGACTCTTAATTAAGTGATTTTTCTAGAAGTTTTAGTTTAGAGCGCTATATCTCATTTAGATAAATTTGTACAGAAAAATTGTCAATTACAAAATTGAAGCTCTGTTTTGGTTTAGTAGACATGCAAACTTTCAGACTCATCTATTGTCTATTTAATAAAACGTGGGCG